CACTGAGGCATACCAGATTCCAAGGCAAACTAGGCAAATGGGGCTTACGCGGGTCTTTTGGCTGTGAGGGCTGCATGCAGACTGCGACAGCAATCGATAGCGCGATGATTATGATTGGGCACATTGATTGCGACATGCGAGTACTATCTGCAAGGTGAGAACGCTGACAGAATGGCATGAAATATTAGTGGGAGAGGTATCTTGGAAGTAGCCGCACAATCACATGCAAGCAGAAAGGGGCAGGCGCACGCGACCGCCTCACCTTTCATCGAGGTCCTTCAAAACCTAGCCATCACTCCCCAAACTGAATTGAATCAAGTTCCTGTCATCCACACCATGATGGATCGTTAATTTCTTTTGCTCATCTTTCGACTATTGGTTGACGTCTCACGCCTTCACGCTCCACACCTTGATGCTCGCATCGCCTCCCGCCGAAATGACCTTGAGACCCTTCTCCCATGCGACACCATTGACGCCATCCTTGTGAGCGTTGAGAGCCTTGATACGCTTGCCAGGGTCTTCTGTGCTCCAGACCATGACATTGGTGTCCAGACTGCCACTTGCGGCGTAGTTCTCACTCTCGTCCCAGGCCAGACAGGTAATGCGTGCGGTATGGGCACTCCATCTGTCCGTGATGACCTTCCAGTCTCCGCCTACCTCAAATGCGTAGATCTTGCCGTTTCCAGCACCCACTGCCAGCTTCTTGCCTGAGGCAGAAAAGGCGAGTGCGGAGATGGGAGCTGTTGCACGGCGAAGCACTGTGTCGGTCTCCTTGAGCTCAGTGCCAGAAAGGGTGTAGATGTGTACTAGCTTGTCGTCTCCGCCAACAGCAACGGTAGAGCCGTGCGCTGCGATTGAGGTAGGGGCGAATTTGACCGGTAACGAGCTGACCTGGGCCCCCTTGGAGTATACTGCGATGGCGTCGGTAGAAGGAATCAGCACGGTGCTCGATGTCGCGGCAACGCCCTTGGGTTGGAACTTGAGATCGTGTGCCTCGCCAGTGAAGATCTTGTCCGGAACGGACATGGAGCGTAATGTATCGTCCCAGCCAACACTGTACAACTCCGCCTCATTCTTGCTGTCGGAAGTCGTGATGCCGGCGACGTAGCTGGAATGTGCTGCGCCTTCGACCTTGTCAGCCAATCCAGTGGTGGTGTCCCATGCGAGGACACGGCCGTCATAGCTTCCCGTGGCGAAAGTAGATCCAGCTATGGCAGCCGATGTAATGTTCTTGGAATGGCCACGGATGATGCGCGTTGGCTTTGGGTTGCCGTCGACGAGGTAGTTCAGGTTTCCTTCGAGATCCACACTGACGATCAGACCATCACTGCGGCCGGTGGGCCATACCACGCCGACCTGCTGGTCGGGTATGCTAGCGACGCCTTCCTCGCCCATCCTCCAGGTCTGAATGTTTTTGCCTGCTTCCGGGTCCCATATCCGGACCGTCTGGTCCGCACTGGCTGTGACGAACTTCTTTGAGTCCTTGGACCACGACACGCCGAAGATGCTGCCAGTATGTACACCCTCGCCAATCTGTCCTTTTGCCTCGCCGGTCTTGCCATCGTATAGCCATATGCGCTTGTCGGCGCCGACGCTTGCGAATACGGAACCGTCCGGGGAGAAGGCGGTGCCGAAGACGAAGCGGTTGTGCTGTCCTCTCAGACTGGTGTTGAATTTGAAGGGGGCGCCGTGGTAGAAGACCAGGCTGGTATCGTCGGAGCCTGTGGCGGCGCGGAGGGGTCGTTGCTGGCGGATAGACACGCAGTTGATCTGTGACGAGTGGCCTGAGATTTCGCCCACGCTGTTGCCGCTGTCTGCCGTGATGCAGTGGCCGAAGCGCTCCTTGCCGTCGCCGACAGCTATGATGCGCTGCGAGTCGCCGTCCCATGCCAAGTCGTTGATGCGGCCAGCGATGATGTGGTAGTCGCCTGCACCGCGTCAGCTCCCTCGCTCCATGTCCTGCTATGCCTCACCCACCTTTTGTAGCTCCTTCACCTGCGCAGTCCCACACCTTGACAGTACCCGAGACATCTCCACTAGCTACGTAGAAGCCCGAGGGCGAGAAGCGGGCGACCGTCGTCTGAGTCGTGTGTTGGGTGTATTGTTTACTAACAGCCGGGTCGTCGATGGAGCGCAGGAAGACGGATTTGCCTGACTACATGTCCAATTAGCCCCGTGAAAGCTGTAGATAGCTTATAAACTTACGGCATAGGCAATGCGTTCGCCCTTGGGGTCCGAGGAGAGCGGTGTTGCCTGTCCGCGCGTTGTCGAAGGGGACGCAGCCCAGATGGCGTCTGTTTACGGTCAGTAGCTGCTATGCAGAAGCTATCTGGGAGCTCATACCTGATACTAGAGACATTATGCGCGCAGTTCAAAGGACAGTGAGGTAGCAAAGGGAATGTTCACGTCAATTGCAGAGGATGTCTGCCTGTAGCTGCCAGCGTTGGCGGTGGCCTCTGCGTCGTCACCGCCTACGTTTCAGCGGCCAGCCACGAGTCGCGGGGCAGGTGGGGGTGGCTCCTTCATGACAGCTCACCTGGGGGCAGCTACTGAACATCTTCACATGTTACTCCAGGTACCAGCTCTACATGTCAGCACCCATGGTCCGCATTCCTTTTGCTGATAGTCCAGCCTTGCTGCATGCTTCAGCCAACATCGCATTCCATCATCGAGGCCAGGTCTAGAACGAAATACCGCCGAGATCACTATGTAAATAGCTCCTTCGATCAAGGATACATCCCAGAACCACATGCGTATGCTTGCAATTCACCGCTGACTGCATGGAAATATCTGGTTGCGAATTGAAGAGGCTGGCAGACGGAACAACCTTGGAATGCCCCAGCAAACCCTTGGCGCACGTCATTTCCGCGCGTTGCAAGTCGCGTTGAGATGTCTTCAAGTCTGAACTGATATACAACCGCATCCTGCATCATTGACTCTCTGTCTCGCACATCGCCCATTCTGGACGCTATTCGCTTCCCTCGTTCGCTGTCGCGTCGTTCCCTGTACAACGTCATCACCCGGGAACCCGGCATCCGGTAGCCTACATCCCTATCATCATCATCACCATTCTCATTGCGGAAGAGCAAGGACATCAAACACCATCAACATGTGTCTCATGCGGTCTTACGAAACGCGCGGTCGTACCGTCATTGAACCACCTCCCCGACGAGGAAACTACACGTCCCATACACCAGCCGGCGTGATGCGTCTGCCGCGCGAATGGCGCCGGACCTCAGTCGAGAGCTTCAGCGACGACGGCCGTTACGTCGAGTACAGGTTCGTAGTAACTTCAATGGCACCATTGGTTGTCTCACACTCACATCATCCAGGCGATCGCGATCTCGTCCTCGTGCTATTGAGTACGTCGAAGAGCCTCGCATACGTGCAAGGAGCCGTGCGAGGAGTCGGGCGAGGAGTGTATCTAGGCGACGCATTAGCGACGTTGAGATTGTCAGGCCAGCAAGGACCAGCTACATTGACCCACGTGGAAGTGGTTATGTGGACGAAAGGGTTACGAGGCGAAGTGTCAGCCGCGTGAGACATTGAGGAGTCACTTCTCTGCAGACGAGAAAATGAGGTATGTGTGATCACAGAGCAAAGCAAGATCGTGCGTGCTAACACGCTCAGGTTTTGAATTGAATATGTACATATGGGATACATAGAAGTTTTGTAATTACGAACGTTTAACTTTCAACAAACCAACAATGCTTGCGGCAAGAAATGTCCCGTGTTGCGCACCAACTTCTTGAAGCCTACCCGCTTCGAATATCATCCCTTCAGGCCTAACACAACAAGCCATCTAATAGCTCAACAGCAATCTATGATGGAAATATTTCGGAAACTCCCATCCGGAGAAAAATAATAGTGTACATCTTAGGGCGCAAGAACCCCTGCCGCTAACCGCTTCCGAGCTGCACTTCAAGGTGGGGCGCTATATCCGACTCATAGCTAAACTTCGTCATCAGATTTTGAGTCACGATGAGGGAACGACATACAAGTCTTTGAAAACAACGCTCATTCTCACCAATCTACTCATCGTCCCAATCCTACACCATGGCATCCAACCCCATGCAACGATGCTGCATCGTCGGCGTAAAGCACTCAGGCACACCACAAGGCCAAATCAAACACATTCACAATAGTACACCTTCCTCCACCTCCATCCCTTAATCCTTCCCATCTAACCCACGAAACCAGTCCGCACATACACCACCTACCCCCCCAACAACCCCAACCCCTCCAACGCCATCCTCATTATGACCGACGTCCTCGGCATGGACTTCCCGAACATCCAACTCATCGCCGACCAATTCGCGCAAAACGGCTACCTAACCGTCATCCCCGACGTCTTCAACGGGCGCGAAGTGCCGTTTCCGCCTCCGGAGTCGTTTGACTTGCAGGAGTATATCAACACGACGATGCCGAAGACTGATACTGTGGATCCCATGTTTGAGACGGTGATTAAGTATCTGAGAGATGAGATGGGGATTAAGAGGTTGGGCGGGGTGGGATATTGTTTTGGCGGGAAGTACGTGTGTCGGTTTTTGAAAGAAGGGGGGTTGGGGAATGGGGGGATTGACGCGGGGTTTACTGCGCATCCTAGTTTTGTGGATAAGGATGAAGTTAGGGGGATTAGGGGGCCGTTGAGTATTGCTGCTGCAGGTATGACTTTCAATTGTAACATTCGCGTTTCATTCCTTCTATTCATTTCATTCATCAAACCTACTCCAAAAAACCAAACTGTCGAGACAAAGACATAAACAAGAAGAACGCACTAACAATAACACAACGACCCACAGAAACCGATTCCATCTTTCCAGCCGAGAAGCGGCGCGAGACAGAAGATATCCTTAAAGACCACACCGTGCCGTACCAAATGTTCCTGTATTCGGATGTTGAGCATGGATTTGGTGTGAAAGGGGATTTGTCGCATGCGAAGGCGAGGTTCGCGAAGGAACAGGCTTTTTTGCAGGCGGTGGGTTGGTTGGACGAGTATGTTAAGAAAGCGCCGGGGGTGTAGGGGACTTTTCGGGGAGGTTGGGGAAGTTCGTGAGGGTGTTGGACAGGTGTGGTATGGGTGTTTCGTCAGCTGAGTGTGCGTCTTGGAGGGCGGTGTCGTATTCGTGTAATGTGCATTTGAGCCTGATGATCTCATCTGGTCTGGCGAGTTGCTCCAAGTTCTCAGTCGTGTATTTCTCCAGCCAAAAGTCGCCGCTCATCTCGACATCGATACCAGCATCCGAAAAGTCGCAGTACGCCCGTACGAAGTCAACAATCGTGTCGATCGAAGCCAAAACTGCCGAGAGAACCCAGGCGCAGAAGCTGATGGCAAAGTACGTGAAGAGGAACAGAGTTATCAGAAGACAGCCCCAGAGATAGCCTGTGAGGATACTGTCGAGTACTTCGTTGGGTTGCGGCATGGGTGTCGATGGCCGGAACATGACCGCTTGGTGGGGGAAGAGAGGTGGCATGGTCGTGAGGTTAAACGGTAGAGTAGGTTCGGTTGACTTCTGGGATGTAAGACTGCGATGAGGCGTGCTGACGACAATGTACCGAGTGTAGCAATGTCGGTGTTTGTAGTAAGGCTAGCCGAAGACAATATATCGTTCGTAGCAATATGAGTACCCAGCAATGGTGGGTGTAGTACCTCGATGGTTGGGGGTCTGGGTTTGTTTGCGAGAACATGCGAGATGGCTAGAAGGCTACAGCTGCGCCTGCGTCGTGGTCGAGAGTCGCGCCTTACGATCCATGTCTATCCCTAAACAATCCTCATCTTCAATCAGCGAACAGAAAGTGCTACCCCTGCTTTAAGAGGCATGTGCCAACACACCACTGTCAATCACCGTCTTCATCCCCCGCCCTTCCTCGCTCAACCCTTTGTCTTCCATCTTAACTTTCTCCGCCCACGGCGGCTCACCATCCTCATCAAACTCCGCCCACTGAAAAAACCCACAACTCTCCCGACCCGGCACATAGCCCGCATGGCACATCCACATATACCTCCCCCTCGATTCCTTCTTCCTCGTCGCGCACCTCAACACAGTCGAAACACCACACTTGCATTTCGGCGTATACCTCGGATGGAGGCTATCCTTATAAAACCTATACGTGATATTAAGACGCTTGTTCTTCGCAAGCGGATGCGGATCGATAGCTTGGGCCGGCGCAATCGAGTGTTTCCATTCTTCTTGCATCTCGGCATGCATAACCAGGAGGGAGTTGTGCGGTAAATGAATGCTGATTTGGCCCTGGGCGTCCGCGAGCGTACCGTCGTCTTTTCGGTGCTCGTCGTCTTCGGCGACGGTCTTGCGGACCCGGAATTCGCGCGCTACGCCGAGGCTTAGACTGCCGATGACGGCTCGTGGGCCGAGGTAGGTGAGTTGGTCGGCGTGGTATCCGACGCTTTCTTGTGGTCCGTTGTAGCAGTTTACGAAGGCGGTGTTGGCTTTCCAGGGGTGAGGGGATTGGTATCTGAGTTTTTTGCCGTTGGGGTAGAAGTCGCGGATTCTGCGGTGGATTTCGCGGTTGACGGCGTCTTCGACTTGGGGGCATGCGTTGAGCATTTCTGGTAGGCTTTGTCGGACATCCTGGATGGAATTAGTATCTTGGTGGTGTTTCTTGTCAGCGGTCTTACCTCGATCTGGCCACCGTTGTAGATGTATTCCGTCTTTTGTCGTTCCGCCTCTTCTAAGCTGTTGACGTAGAAGGAGTACGTGTGTGGGCTTACAACAACTCTGTCGAACAGCTTGAACTCGTACCTGTCGTAGGTCGACGAGGCGTCCAGTAATTGTGACAGCAGTGCATCCGCTTGCTCTACCGGAAGGAAATTATGTATGATTGAACAAGGCGTATGTACTTCGATGTCTTCTGGGCTATAGAGAAATAGTGTCTTGCCCTTTCTCACAAGTGGCTTCTTGTTCAGGGCTCCATTGGCCGGAGCAATGCGATACGAGCTCAGTGACGATTGATAGCCCACTGTCGATGATGCGGGTCGCTTGCGTGGGGAAGTAACTTGAGGTCGCGATAGACACTCCGAGGCTTGTTCAACGGCCCCGTCAGCAGCGAGCAATGCTTCAAGCAGAGTCGCTTCATCAACTGTAGGATGCAAAGATGCCAGCAAGGCCAACTTGAAATCGGTAGACTCTTCTTCTGGGTCTCTAGCCTCTGAAGGCCGCTTGCCTGTACTCGCCACGGACCTGGGCGGCCCCTCATCCCACTTCCTCTTGCGCGACACGAACGCGTCCATACCGAGTGTGGTGGGTTACAATGGCGCGCATAGTCGCATCAACAAAGTGAAACGGCCTCCTCGACAGTGGCGACTGGCGTTACAAGCAGACGCGCTGTCACGGGACAACCTCCGGCGCCACACCAGCCCCGCCAGAACCCAAAGGCGCCTCGGTCAATCGACACCTCGTCATCCGCAACCATGCTGCAGCACAACACCCACTCCACGTTCCGGCGCGACATGACGCGCCGTACCATACCTATCCTCCACGCGCCGTAATCCCAAATCCCACCCCCACCTTCACCACCCACGATGCTCGAGTTCCGCACCCAAGGCTTCAACGGCTACTCGGTCAAATACAGCCCCTTCTTCGACTCGCGCATCGCCGTCGCAACATCCGCCAACTTCGGGCTCGTCGGAAACGGACGCCTGTACATATTAGGCCTTACAGCGAATGGCATCGTAGCCGAGAAATGGTACTTCTACCACCCCTCTTCCATCTTCAACTTTACTATCACATGCTAACCCACCCAACCCGCAGGTTCGACACGCAAGACTCCCTCTTCGACAGCACCTGGTCCGAAGCGCACGAGAACCAACTCCTCACCGCGGGCGGCGACGGCTCGGTAAAGCTCTTCGACATAAACGTGCCCAACTACCCCATCGCATCCTGGCAAGAGCACGCGCGCGAAGTCTTCGCCGTGCACTGGAACCTCGTGTCCAAAGACACTTTCCTATCCTCATCCTGGGACGGCACGATCAAGATCTGGAACCCGAATGCGGATGCGAGTATAACCACCTTACCGACGCATTCATGTACCTACAGTGCGAGTTTCAGTCCGCACAGTCCGAGCGTGCTGTCAAGTGTGAGTAGTGATAGCCATTTGAGGGTTTTTGATCTCAGGACGCCGGCGAGTGCGAGTAATCATCTGACGATGAGTGTGCCGATTCATCAGCCGCCGAAAGCGAGGATGGGACATGCGCCGGGTGTGGGTGTTGCGCCTGCGGAGGCGTTGACGCATGATTGGAATAAATATAGGGATACTATCGTTGCAACCGCAGGGGTGGATCGCGTGATACGCACATTTGATATCAGGATGCCACAGCAGGGGCCTGTTGCTGTTTTACCAGGACACGAGTATGCGGTTCGGAAGTTGAGTTGGAGTCCGCATTTGAGCGATATACTGCTTAGTGCGAGTTACGATATGACATGTCGGGTGTGGACAGATGGGAGTGCTATGGGTGTGGGGAGTGTGAAGCAGGAGAATATGCTGGAGGATCCCATGTTTTATGGCGGGGGTAGGGAGATGGGGAGGATGGGGAGGCATACCGAGTTCGTTACGGGTGTTGATTGGTGTTTGTTTGGCGCGGAGGGCTGGTGTGCTAGTACGGGGTGGGACGAGAGGGTTATGGTATGGGATTGCCGGGCTATCATGCAATGAAATGACGACGTTTCATGCAACATGCGCTCGACAATGAGATATGACTGTCCTCCATTCCCTACAAAAGTAACAATGCTCAGCGAGATACATCGCGAGTCATAATGCGGACCACCAACTCAACGAGACAACAAGCAAAAGACAGGGTATCATCCCATAGCTACACCCAGACACCGAAATGCAAATCCCACATGCGCCGCCCAAATGCCGAAGCTCAGAAACGCCTTTATGCTCCTTCCTCTATCATTCGCTTTCATGATCTTCCTCCAGATCCCCGACGTTCAGAACATCGTCAAGCGCATCTTCCATCTCCTGCATGTCTTGTACGCTACCTCCTTGCCAATGCATGCCCACTTCGTCATCGATCTGCACCGGGTCGCCAGAGCCAACTTCAAGACCTTCCTATAGATCGCCGAGGTTCAGAATATCGTCAAGCGCATCGTCCATCTCTTGCATATCCTGTACGCTGCCTCCCTGCCAGTGCATGCCCACTTCATCCTCAATCTGCATCGGGTCGCCAAAGTCAATCGTCCAAGTCTCGCCGTTGAGGTCGTGCTTAGTCCCATTTGCAATGCCATTGATGCCGTTGGTGATCGCACCATTCGTGAGCGGTTTTGCGGGTGCATTGTAAATGTCCTCGATGCCGTGCGTGTCAAGAAACCTCGAGTTCATTATCGATCCCGCAATCAGTGGTGTTTGTCCGAGGTACGAGTCTCCGAGTTCCAGCGCGAGTCTCAAGTCTTCCATGCACAGGAGTTTCCTCTTTCGTCGCTCTTCTGCTTCGACGGGGAGTTCGCCGCCGATGCCGCGGGCCAGCTCGCCGCGGTCTACTAGTCTTTCCTCTCGCGCGAGCTTCTTCTTGAACTCGCCTGTGCGCACGTATCCAGGGCCGTTGCTGCTCACTTTGCCTAGTAAGTTTGCCAGTGCTTCTTTTATGTATGTCTCGGTAGCGATGTTGAGGTAGTCCGGGCAATCGGACGTATGGCCCTGAGGCAGCCCGAACTCGTAGCATATCGGTAGGAGGCGATAGGATATCGTCGTTGCCGTGGGGAATTCGTGTGTCTCGGCGTAGAGGGCCGAGGTATACCGTTTGCGAATCTCAAGTTCCCAGTCTGATGACGAGTTGTGTTAGCACATGAACAGCTCTTCTGAAGTGAATGAGGGGCATCGCAAATGTCGTGTACGTACTAGTCTTTCCAAATCCACCGCCCTGGTTGCTGCTCGGCCCAACATCGAGCTGCTTCGCCCGTCTCGCATCAACATACTCCTGCACGGGCCCAGCAGCACCCGCGCCCAAGCCCTCGAGCCCCGTACTCAGCGGGCTCTCACCTGCCGGTATGCCCTTCAGCCTCTTCCTCTCCCTCCGACTCAATTGCATAACCTCATGCTTTAGTCTCTTCTCGCTCTCGTCCCCTGTCCCCTTGACCGTCCCGCTAGTCGGCTTATCGCTACTCGACACCCAACTGGCGATGCCTGCTTCGGGCGGGTCGCGCCATATGTTAGCGTATATAGCCGTGAAGAGCGCATTGTGCGCGTGTTCGAGGGCGGGCGTGGTGAGGATCTTGGACAGCTTGTGGGACAGCTCCTCCTGGTTGAGGTTGCCGAGGAGAAAGAAGGAGAGGGCTTTCTTGTAGATGGTCCAGTCTGCGTCGCTTATGGAGCCTTTGACTGCGGCGTACAGGGGCTCGACGTCGACACGGGGGGCGCGCGGCGCGTTGGGCTTCTTGGTGAGGTCCGTCTGGAGGGACGAGAGGCTGGGCAGGGTGCCCGACGAGAGCGTCGGTGTAGTGGAGACGTTCATGTCATTGGGCCGTATGGTGCCTGCCATGATGGCGGTGGAAATGCGCCGTGGTGGCGCTCAATGCGTCGTGATGTGCGCGTTGCGAGGTCGTCGCGCGTTGGACAGATGCGCGTGCGGGCTGTGGAGAAGGCTGAGAGCGATGGGAGAGCGACGCCGGGGTCTGCGCGACGCTTCAAGAGTGCCAGCGGGGTCGCGCGCGTATGCAATGATGGGCCCCGATGACGGGCAAGGAGTGCAGGCGTTGTGCGGGGCCTACGCTGATTCACAAGCATGCAGTCGTGGAGAGCGTGAGGTCAGAGCTCGGGGGTTTGCGGAGTTGATGCTGGGGCAGCCTAACAACTTCCACGAGCCCCATGAAACCTCCACCACATGCACCCTTCCGTTCGGTCCCAGAACATTCAATGAAACTTCCATTCGCTATGCACTTATATACTAACATGATTCGTTAACACATGCGCTCCCGTCCCAATGCTAGTGCAGTCGCTTTTATGCCATGTACACCGTCCCATCCATTGTACGGTATCGCTAGTTTTCACCAAACACATCTCCCAACTCCACTTTCCCTACGCTCCAAATCTCTCGCTCATCTTCCATCTCGTCGCTCGACAAGCCGAGACCTCCTGCGCCACCTTCGGCCTCCTTTCTTTCTCTGGCTTGCCCAGCTAGCCTCATGGCAACCCTCTTGAAGTAGTCGCCCATGCTGCGTTGTTGACCGGCAGAAAGGCTCTTGCCAGGTCCAGCCATGTACTTGTCGAATACAGCCGTCTCTTCGTCCACCACCGAGAAGATGGCAAGGAACGCCGCTTCAGCTGACAGCTTGACTGGGATCACCGGATCGCGCACCGATGCGAAGACCACTGGTATGAGGAGCGGGATATGCGGACGGATCAATTCGTTGTGCTCTCGAGCAACTGTGCGAAGCACCACAAGCGCCAACCGCCTCGTGTCGACGGGATGACCGGGCTCGACTACTGGCGCAAGAGCCTCGAAAATGGGCTTGGTGTGGTCGAAGCTCTTGCTGCTCTTCTCCGACAGTAGGTATTTGCCAGCGGCGAGGATCGAGTTATCCGAGATGAACGGTTGCGAATGTCCAATACCCTGGCAGATAACATTCGCAGTCTCGTCTGCAAACGATTCTGTTAGAGCCTCGGGAGCATCTAGCAGAATGGCATTCAGCGCCAGTACAGAAGATTTGTTGAAGTGGGTAGTAAGCACACGAGCTTTGAGAAGACTGGACGCGACATCCTCTGGAAGACAGCTGATCAGGGCTCCTAGAAGTCGAGCGTTTGTAATCGCCATTGCATCTACCCCATGTTAGTCACACTAAGCAGAATCAGAATCAGTCTAAACTTACCATTAGAATCATCGCTCTCGTTGTCGATGAGACCTAGGATGGCGTTCCTGCTTGCTTCGCTCATGTTCTTGCCTGCCTTGCTTACGACCTCAAACAAGGCCTTCAGCATAGCCGTCTTGACATTTTCATCGCTTGTCTTGGATCCGGTCACCAACTCAGCGATGAGTGGGTCCACCCTTGGTGTAAGCTTGATCAATGTACCAAGAGCCTTGGCTGCTCGTGCTCGCAACACATCCGACGATGTATCGGCAAGCGACTTGGCGAACGTACGCTGGAGCTGGGGCAAGAAGGGCTTGAGGAAGGTCGGGATCTTCTCTAGCAGGTTGTTGAGCGTGAGCAGAATAGCTGCCTTCACCTCGACAGAACGCTCTGTGACCACACGAATGAGGGGTCCTGTAATCTGAGTAACAAACGGCTGGAGTGACTT